CCTCCATGGGAGTCACCCAAGAGATGTGCGCCTTGGTTGTGAGTGGGAGGAGGGGTGAGTACACTTGAAGGTTTGGCCGGGGGAAGAGAGTGGGTGGGGTGAAGGGTCACAAGAGGTCCTTCAGAGGCTAGAGAGGAGCCTGGAGGAACAATGACAAGCCACCCCCTGCCAGCAAGCCCTCGTGACTGTCATGACCAGACAGGACAGAGGAGGAGCCCCCTGCAGGGTTTCCAAGACTGTTGTCTTTATGGAGAGCCCAGCAGTTAAAGCAACCGCTACTCATGGAGAGGTTGGTAGTTCAAACTCACCAGCCACTGCTCAGGAGAACGATGGGACACCCAACTTCCCTAAAGATTGCAGCCTCGGAAACGCCTTGGGGCAATCGACACTGTCAGGGTGCCTGCAAGTTGGACTCGACTTGGCATGGGGACTCAGTGTGGCATGGGGGTTTGAAGTGATGATCTTTCAGTTAGGCTCGCAGCAGAGTGCTGAACCACGGCGCCACCAGTGTGCCTCGTATTAACAGTGGCTTCTGGTCGAGCGCTTGTGATGGGCAAGGCACCACTCTGAGCCCTCGGCTCAGATGCAACTGCCTGAGAAGACTGGTCATGTTAGCCACGGACCCATTTAGTGGATTTGACCACTGAGGCTGGCGAAGGAGAGGGGCACCCGATGTCACCCAGCTGTGGTTGAGAGCCTCAGCCCAACAATCCTTCGTTGGAGACAGGCGAGCTGGTGACCAGACACCATCACATCTTGTCTCACACACTCTCCCCCTGGGCTGGCATGTGGGAAATGAGAGCTGGTGGGAAGCCACCGCCAGGCCAGGGCTTTGGGCCCAGGGGTGTGTCCACCCACCGAATCAGCTCCCCAGCCTTTGTGTGGAGCATTTTCCTGCTGAGGAAACAGGCTCAGAGAGGGGAGGGGACCTGCCCTACGGTGCACAGCTGAGACATGGCTAAAGTCGGAATGGGAGAGAGCAGGGGCCCAGAGGGTGGGGGTGGGGAGAAAGCGAGGAGCACTTTCCCCAGGAAACCCTCAAGAAAGTGTTCTCATCTCCTCTTGCTGCCTTTCCCTCACCGCCAGACTGCTGCCCGCCCAGTGCCCTTCCCACTGAAGTCAACAAGCATTGGATGAGCACCTACTGGGTACCAGGGCTATGCTCAGGGACTGGGGACAGGGGCGGGGGGAGGGGAGAACATTTGTCTTCTTGTGGAGGGGACAATTGACAGGGAAGGAGAGACAGGCATGGACTATCCAGTAACTGGAACTCGGTAAGCACAGGGGATCCGAGATCTGGAGAAGGAGAGTTGGGGGTTGATCTGGGTAGGCCATTCCTCAGAGGTGATCCTGAGTAGGGGACGGGAAGACCCCAGTCCACCCGAAGCACCATCATAAGGGCTTTCATCCTTCCAGCTGCCTGGTGACACAGTGGATCTTGTGATCAGGGGAAACTGAGGCACGGGGAGGTAAAGCCACTTGTTCAAAGAGCTGGAGAGTGGCTGTGGTGAGAACACACACACACACACACACACACACACACCACTTCCTCAGGATAGAAGCTGGCCCTGACGAGGCTC